TAATTGTCTTTTTGTGACTGACATATAATTTATTATAGATTCATTCTTGTGTGCAATATTTTACAAATTATGTGAATGTACCTAGTTTCTTTAGCCATTCATTCATCTGTTGATGAACAATTGGGTTGTTTCCATCCCTTTGCTGTTGTAAATAATGCCAGTATTTTGTTTATTTTGTTTACTCTTGGTGAAAGCAGATGGTCGTGGTCTCTTTCCTATGGACTTACTGAGTAGGTTTGAAAGACCACCTTTTCATTCAGTAGCCAGGTTTTTACTGTCACATATCTATCGTTCCTTCTTCCTCTGTTGTAAAGTCTTAAATCCAGAACCTTGCCAATTGCACATAACAACCTCAGCGTTCATACAAATAGGGGGTGTTTCCTATTTCTTAGTAGGAACTTTAAAGACAGCATTTGAGCTGTTCTTCTTTGCCCAGACAAGGGGTTCCCTTTGTTTGTGAAACTTACACAGGTCTGGGTCTACAGAATGATTAACCACCTCAGTACACATTTTAGTGAAGAGCGTTTGGGGGCTTAACCTTGGTGATGGCTCCTGAGTACCATGACTTAGGTGCTGTCCATGAGGTGATCCTAATTTGAAGCTTTTTTAAAAGAGAAGCTTAAGTTTAAAAACCTCTTATACGTTAGTTAGTGATGGAATAAATTAAATAGGATGTTCATACCAAAGGTTTGACAAATGCAAGCATGAGTACTTAACAGTATGAATGTATAGGTTATCTGAGTTGAAGTTTTCATATCCGACATTTTATTACTTCTGTGTCCTTAGTAGATAATTGTCTTTACTTGCTAAGTCTTATTTGTTTACTAGTGTTTAGTTAGATATTATGTGATGTAATTACATAAACTTTTTTCCTTTTTAAGCTGAAGCATTGGCTTTGATTGCACAAGATGAAAAAGAATTTAATGAAGAACATCAGTTTATGCAGGTTTGTAATTATTTGCTTTAAGCAATTTTTCAAAAGTTTTTTTAAAAAAATACTTAGCTTAAAAGTAGGCAAAATAATTTTTTCTTAACTACCATGTAATTAATATAGAATTATTTCTTAGATTTCTCATGTTTAAGCAATTTCTCTTTTTTATATCACAACGTCTAAATTTTCATTGGGGACTATTGTGATACCAGAACTAGATGGTGTCTCGTTGCCACAGCTGACCACTCTAGAAGGAACTATGAAGGTCTTCTATAGAGTGAGAGAGAATTTGGAAATCATAGAGACTTTTTGGACTGATAGAGAGGGGTGGAACTCCTGGGCATGAGTCACTCTTTAGATCTGAGATTGAACCACGTGGCTGAAATTTCATCCAGACAACTGATGGGCCTCTAGGATGAATAATAACAACACCTGGAAAGTATACTTAAAGCAATAGTTTAAGATCAGAAGAACACCATTTAGGGATAAAGCTTAGAAGGTGGGGAGAAAAGACAAAAGTAAAGTAGGAAAAGGTATAAATTCTTGGGGCATAATCTATAGTGTGTTTTGCTGCTAGCAAAAGACTCTGTTTCTCTATTGTACTTTCCCAGTGGCTCCACAGGGGAAAGATGGAAAATCTCCTCCTTTTAAGCTTTACCACTTGAAATCCAAGTGGAGGATTGCTGTAGCTGGAGCCGACTTGACTGCACTGAGTAAACACAAGAAGGGTTGGGCACAGTCTGTTAAATATGTGGGGTTATAACTAAGGCTTCCACTCAATATATGTATTTATCGTTGAATGAAAAACCAGTTTGCTGGGGACTTCCAAGAAGGATGGCATACAAGACCTAAAAATAGGAAAACGGGTCTCCAAGTGATGATAGCTGCAAAACAAAAAGAGAGAATAAGAAGTGTAGTTACAGAATTTTTAATAGCGAGAAAGTCCAGGTGATTTCATTATAAAGTGAACTGTTCCTTAATAAACTAGATAATCCCAAAATAAGTTAGTAAACCACTTTTATTAAAATGACAAAAAGGAAAACCATGACTCAGTAAACATTACAACAGCAGCAACAAAGAAAATAAGAAAAATCTTAAAATGAATTTAGGACGTAAAAGCAGACTGAGCAAAGAAATCAGCAACACCGCCAAAAAGAACATAGCAATATGACAGACTCATCAGTCAATGTGAGTAGAATATGAGTAAACTAAGTGCACCTGGTGTACAAGTTGCCATCCCGCGGTCACTTGTGGTTGCTGTGAGGCTGAACACTGTGACACGGATGTGTCAAATGCATTAATGGTTGGCTACAATGTAGACTGAGAGTGGGGTGGAGCTCCCCGATTGAACAAGCGTGGAAGGAGGAGTGGCGTCCACTACCATAATAGCTTGCCTCGGAAACCCTATGAACTTGGAGAGAGTATGAAAGGCACCCAAGCATCAAGGACTCTCCTTCACAGGGTTGCTATGAGTCGCCTGCGACTCGACGGCACTTAACAACAACAACAACAACAAGTGCACCAGTTAAGAGAGAAAGAAGAGCAGAATGGATATGAAAATGACCCAAAAATAGGCTATCTGCAAGAGCTACACTTCAGACATAAGAGAAAAGATTGGCTAAAAACCAAAAGATGAGTTAAAAAATACCAAGCAAATGAATAAAGAGCAGGAGTCACAATATTAATTTCTGATAAAATAGGCTTCAACACAAAAGAAGCATAAGAAGCACGATAGAGCATTGTCTGATGATGGAATAGTAAAGTGAACAAGAGGATATAACTCTAATGTTTATTAAAACGTTGAAAGAGCTAAAAGATATGCATCAAACTTCAGTGATTTTATAAAGAGAAATAAACATCTCCATAATAACAGTAAGATTTCAGAATATTACTCCTGCTGAAGACTAGAACAGCTATAAAGAAACTAAGCAGAGGATGCAGAACTAACCAACTTGATTTTGTAGACATGTATAAAACAGTCCACCCCTATAAAACAGTCCACCCCACAATAGCACAGTATACATTCTCCAGTGCACATGGAACATACCTCAGATTAGCCTCAGTAAATTAAGATACACTTAAATATTACATACAAAGAATCTTCTGAGATCACTTTGTTGGAAAATAAGATCAGAAGGAGATTTGGGGGTGGGGGGAAGAAATCAAGTATGTGGAAACAAACAACATTCTGTTTGAACACAGCTAGGTAAAAGAAATAGAAAAGAAATTTAAAAATTTCTTGAAGCAAATGTCAGTGAAAGTAAAACATACCAAAATCTTTGGGTCACAACACAAGCAGTACTCTGAAGTAAGTTTACAGAAATAATCAAAAGAAAGAACCAAACTCGTCTTTGTGTTCCCATATATCTGACAGTTAAAGCAACAAGCAAAGCCTACAGTCTCTAGAAGAAAGGGCATACTATAAGCTAGTACAGAAATAAGTGAAACAGAAAAATGGTAGAAAGAATTAGCAAGCCTATAATTTGTTCTAGGAAAGGATTAATAAAGTTGAAAAGTCCTTGGCAAATTTAACAAAGGAAAAGATGGAGAGGGCAAGAATAACAGGGGTGAGGGTAAAAAGCTTAATAATACTTTGAAGAATTATGCTCTTAAAAAAATATAAAACCTGGGGAAATAAAATATTCTTAGAGACTCACTCTACCATAACAAACATAAGTAAAAAGTAGAAAATTTAAATAGATTTATAAAAAAATATGAAATTCAGTGTTTGCTTCAGTTGCACATATACTAAAATTGGAATGATAGATTAGCATGGCCTCTGAGCAAGGATTCCATGTGAATTCGTGAAGCATTCCCTATTTTTTTTTAATTGTAATAAGTAATAAAATCACTCAGGCCCTCCCCACCAATTAAAAAAAACACAATCCTGACCAGGACAGCCCACTGGTGAATCTCATCAGACCTTCAGAGAAGCACTGACGTCAATTCTACTAATCCTATTTCAGGTACAGAAAAAGAGGGAATACTCCTGAACTCATTCTGTGAAACCATGCAAGGACAAAGACATGTAAAGACATTAAAAAAAAAAAATAAATTTTATACCAGTATCTCCTATGAACACACACAGGAAAATGGTCAGAGTCCTAGCCTATAGCACTTAACACCATATTAAAAAGAATTCTTCCTTATCAAGTGGGGTTCATGCCAGTATGTAAGGATGGTTCAACATTAGGAAAAACAATGTACGTAATCTAGCACGTCAATACAAAGGAAAAGAACCTGATCATCACTTGATACAGAAAAAGCATTTGACAAAATTCAACACAAGTTTCTTGTTTTAAGAAAACTTAACAAAATAGAAATAGTAGAGAAATTCCTCATTGTAATTATAAGCAAAATCAGCAATGAGCATTAGTGTCCATGAAGGAAGATTGAAGATATTCCCTTTATGAATGGGAACCAGACAAAGCTGCTCTTTGTCAACACTAATTCAGTATCGAATTAGAAGTCCTACCTAGAGCAATAAGGTAAGAAATAGCAGTAAAAGCTAAAATAGGTAAAAAAGTGAAACTATTTCTTTTGCAGATGATATAATCTTATGTACTGAAAATCTCATTCAAAGAGTTAAAATCCATTAACTTGAGAAGCGGCATCCTCTTTAACAAAAGGTGCTGATAAAAAGGGATCTCTATTTTCTGAAACTTGAAACAAGGTCTATACCTCACACCATATTAAAAAACTGACTTAAAATACATCAAGGACCTCAGCAAATTAGAATGCTAGAAAGGTTAAACCAGGCTGCTCCTTGGAGGCAAGGATTCTGAGGCTTCACCTGACATCCTTTGGACATGTTGTAAGGAGGGAGAGGTCCTTGGAGAGGAACATCATGCTTGGGAGGGTGGAGGGACAGCACAGAAGGGGAAGACCCTCTATGAGGTGGATTGATTCAGTGACTGGGGTAATCAGGATGGTTGTGTCAGAGGCAGTGCGATTGGCACAGCATAGAGCAGGGTTTAGGGCTGTTGTACATAAGGTCGCTATGAGTCACAAGTGACTTGACGGCACAACAACAACAACAACAGCTTATGGCATAAATAGACTATCAGACTAAAAATGCACAATAAACAGTGAATAAGCTAGATCATTGGCATCTCCTAGAGGTTAAGTTCTCCAAAAGAATAGAAGGAGAACCTACAGATTTAACAAAAAACTTTGAAAATTATACATCTGACAAGGGACTTGACTCATCTCTAAAATTTATTGTTTTAGTTCTGTGCCATCGAATTGACTGAGACTCTGTACAGCTGCTTTGAAGCGTGCCCTGTCCTAAGCGAGTCTTACTGACTCAGATACACCAACCCCCATTGCCCTAGTTAATGTATCAATCCAGCTCATCTGGGGTCTTCCTCTGTTCACTGTCCCTGTACCCTTCCGAGTATTATGTCCTAACAGGGCCTTCCTGGCCACATGCCTAAAGTATGTGAGGTGGAGCTTCAAAATCCTAAACTCCAGGGAGAAACTTGGTTTCAGCCTCTCCAAGACAGACTTGTGTGTTTTCTTGGTAGTCCATGGTATGTTCTAGACTCTTCTCCAGCACCACAATTCAGAGCCATTGATACTTCTGTCACCCTTAGTCATTCTCCAGCTCTCGGATTCATAGCAAGTAATTATGAAGACCATGGCCTGGATCGTGTGCACCTTTGTCTTTAGACTGACATCGTTTCTTCTCAATACTCTGGAAAGGTCTCTGACAACAGATTTACCTAATATAATTTTCTTTTTCATTTCCTGATTCTGGTGCCAAAAGTGTTGATGGTGGAGCCAAGTAAACTGTAATTGTTAACAACTTCAGTCTCTTCTCCATTTATCATGGTGCTGCCAATTGGCCCAGTGGTGAGAATCTTTATCTTCTTGATGTTGAGCTTCAACCCATATTGAAGAATATAGTCCTTGACCTTCTGCAGCAAGCGTTTCCAGTTACAAGCAAGCAAGTTGTGTCATCTGTATAACGTAGGTTGATAAGTCTTCCTCCAAATCCTGATTCTGCCTCATAACGCCCACCTTCCTGAATGATCTGCATGTAGATTGAAATGGGTATGGTGACAGGACACATCCCTGATACCCTCTTCATGATTTTGAACCATGCAGTGTTTCCTTGGTCTGTTCTAAGGAGTTCTTCCTGGTCCAAGTGTTCTGATATTCCCATTATCCCCAAGGTTAGCCACAGTTTGTTGTGATCCACACAGTCAAATGTCTTTCCATAGTCAATGAAATGGTAGTGTACCTCTGATACTCTACTTACTTTCTGCCAAGATCCTTCTGACATTGGTGATAATGTCTCTCCTTGTCACAACCTCTTCTAAACCCACCTTGTATTTCTGGTAGTTTTCTGTCATTGTACTGTTGCAGTCGTTTTTGGATAATCTTTAGCAGGATTTTGGTTGCATGTGATATGAAAATGTATGATAATTTCCATACTCTGTCGGGTCACCTTTCTTTGGAATGGGAATTGGCTAGGTCATTGTCCTCCAGATTTCTTGGCACAACCTGGTGAGCACATCCAGGGCAGCATCTGTTTGTTGAAACAGGTCAATTGGTATTCGGTCAGTTCCTAGGACTTTATTTTTTGCCAAGTCCTTCAGAGTAGCCTGATCTTCCTCCTTCATCACCATTGCCCCTTGATCATATGTTGTTTCTTGAAATTCTTCTGAGCCAGCCGATTTTTTGAAATTATTGTTAAATTTTATTAGTTTTAATGAACATTTACAGAGATTTTGGGTTCTCATTCATTCATT